CGCTCCTCTAGGTCTTTCTATAAATATGACCAAGTTGCCAAAACAAGGTAAAACAACTGACACACAACGAAGGGAGGCTGCGGCCATGCATAAGGCCGCACCATCTTGGTCTTCATACCTTTGACTAATTTATCATTGTTTCTCTTGTATTTGCTGTTTTTACTTGTATATTCTATAGCCGAGTACTTCTTTGAAAATCAGCCTCGCACTTTACACTCTGGCAGGGTTGCGAGAATTTTTTTCTTGTTTTCATGCGCTTTGGTTTCACGGATGTTATCTTCATCTAAGTTATCCATTCTTAATTGCATTTTGCTACATTTTCTCCATAATTTTTTTCAGCATCACAAGACAGCTCCTCCTGCTCATAATTATTCCAATCGGCAATCCTCCTTCATGCCTCATCCTGCAACCAATCTGCAGATACTAGAAGCCAGCTGTCCAGGTACTCCTCTTCAGCGTCAAGCAACTACACCTGTATTGCCCGCCACCAATCCGAGCGTCGGAGCCTGTCTCGTACGTGCCCCTCGCTTCGTTGCTAAACTTGCTGGTTCAGGCGGCCTCAGCAAGTATATTTCTCAGGCAGCTCGGTCAACAGAGTTATTGTCTGTTACGACAACTCAAGAGCGTGTCTCGGCCCTTGGTCGTTCTTCCACCACTGCCACTGTCACACCAAGTAACTACTCTCGGAATAACACCACTAGTCCTCCAATCTGTAACCTAGAGACATCATTATCCGCTCTCGAATTGGCCGGCCCTCGAATTGAGGATTTGACAACTTCAATCTCCTCTCAACCCCGTCATCATTTTATTCATACTGACTTATCAGATTGCAATACTTCACCTCTACCTGTGCATTCTAGCATTCGCGAAGCCACGAATCTCTCCACCTCGTGCGATACCCATAATTTGGGCACTGCTCGCTCCGCGTCTGTCCAACTAGACTTTTACGTACAGAATGATCAGAACGATGATGCCGTCTATGTTGATGCGGAAGAGGTCGAGGACGAAGATGACGATGACTTTTTTATTTCTAACCCCTCAGATATTGATACTCTTTCTTTGGCTTCGGCACGTACCACAGGCGGTCTTTTTCCTGCACTCTTCCAGAATGGTCAGCGCCAGGCATCCACTTCTGTTGGATTGTCATCTCCGAGTCTCTTTCGACGTCCGGCTGCTGCCACAGGAGCCACTTGCTCAAATTCATCGACGTCATCATTCGCCTCTCTCCTTT